AATTGGTGTAATTGGGGGTGGGGGGGGGGGGGGAAGCTGCCTCGATCTCGGACTTCTCTTTTTCTTTCAATAATCAATTTGACGGCAGAGCGTGGTCGTTTATTCGGCAATAAGCTTACGATTGTCTGCTCGCGAGGCCGATAAAGTCTAAATCACTCGAATCGTTGGGCTTTTAAATCTGCTTCGTATCTAAGGACCTCCACCGAACGAATGAAGAAGGGGCAAATTGTATTGGCCTATATAAAAGAACCTCAGGGCTACTTTTCATTAATCAGAGTCGACCAATATCGAGATATTTTACACTTCTCTAGATTATAAAACTTTGCGTATATATTTTATTTGCTCGAAAATATCGTGAGTGGCAATGATTATGCCCGCTTCGGTATAATAAATACGCGTACATTGAGATGGAAAATGTATACTTCGATTAGTAATGTATTTAAATGTTAAAAATTGCGTAATACAAGTATGGGAAAGTACTGGCTTGAAATATGGTTTTTCATAAACGGGGAATACGTCGTGCCAGCTACGCATCTCGCTTACGCAACTAACAAATAATTATGAAAATAAAAATCCAAAGTTTTTACAACCTTAATTACTTGAGCGCAACGTTATTAGGATTTGTAAGATTTTATGCTTTGGCGTAAAATTAATTCGCCAGTGTTTCAGCAGTTTTTCCTGTCATCCAATTAAGTGGCGATAAATATAAGGAGTGTTGCAAAGCATCGTTTTCTCCTCCTACCTAATTATTCGATCAAACTTTTTATCCCTCGTTGCGCTACTCGGCGCGGCGCACTTCTCAACAAGTGCCGCTTTTACTTTTCATAGGTTTTTAATTTATTTTCCCATTTGTCCGGCTTGTACTTCTACAGTGTACTCTCGACATCGATAGGATTTACAAGCACGTGGGAGAAGGCATTTATGCGAAAATACTCGACTCGTCTGCTTTTCGTTAGCTCAATCGGCCTTAAAAATACTTTAGCGAGCCAAATTGCAGTTCGGCTACGAAGCCGAGCGCTACTTACGTGAATTTGCGTATAAAAATGCCCGACAACATACCCCAAGTTTCCTTTTATAATGTTCGGACAGTATACCGTGGGCTTACCAATGCGCTTTATGCATTTATAACAGTATTTATTTTTAGATAAATTGTCCGTATCGGAGCATAGAATCTAAGTGTGTTAATGGCTAAGGCCTCCGATGCCTTTAAATGTAAAAAAGAAGTAAATTATCGTACGACTTGTGTATTTTAAGGTTAACACTTTACACTCTACACAGAGAATTTATACCCTTAAACAAAGAAGAAGATGTAGAAATTGTGTGGGTGGGGGATGGGGGTGGGGGAGGAGGGGGTGTGGCGAGTGGAGGGGGGTGGATAAAGGCCGGGTGTAGCAGCTGTGATTGGAAGAAGAAGAAGAAGAAGAAGAAGAAGAAGAAGAAGAAGATGATGAAGAAGAAAAAGAAGAAGAAGAAGAAGAAAGAAGAAGAGAATTTCGTGTAAATATATAGACGATGATGCGGTGATGATTTTTAAGACGCTAGTCAGCCAATTATTAACAAATTCTTGTATGCAAGAAGCGTTAAGAAATTTAAAAATACTCGTCAAGAAAGAGCCAAGTTTTCATTCAGCATTCTCTACTATGATAGAATACTAAATAAGTTTATCTTATAAATTTACAAAAGTAAAGGCAAGAGAATTACAACAATTCCTCCAAGACTTCCACACAATTATCAGCTTCGTAATAAGAAATGTAACACTGTTATTTATAATGTCGTTAGAAGTTAGAGGCTACGGCTCGAAAATAACGAGGCAAACGCCATTGACGTATTATTTTGCAATTCGGAGGAACGACCAATGGTCTCGCAAGGTTAATTTTCAACCTCAATGCAATTCGGC